CAGACATCACAGTGAGCGTGTGAGATTCGACGTCCGAATTAAGGCTCTATGGGTCCGCTTAAGTGTATAGTGGCCGATGTGAATTGACGAATTACCAGAGTGATAAAAATATAATCTTAAATATGAATGATTCAAGTCTCGTGTTATTCATTAGTCCAATTGTTATCATTTTACCGGAATCTTGATTCCATTACACAAGAAGAAACGTGGAACCATAACAACACAAAAGTTCCCATTTATTTTTCTTTCTACCTGACTTTATACCATTTTAAGATGATCTGCATGAATATCAATAAAAATGACTTTAAGCGAGTGAAGTCTGGGGTCTTGGCAAAGAGAATATTTCTTTGAATTTTGGCACTACAGAATCACAAAGATCTGTACCAAATAACAGAAACTACTTCATTTGAGGACTACTAACAGTACCAACACGTAAAACAGATCGCATATGTAATCAATAATCAATTTGTTGACGCTTCACACAACTTCAAATAAAAGGTTATGAAGGAAACTATCATTGACAGTGGAAAGAGCAATAACAGCTACTGGACTTGAGAAACTTTTCCTGAAAAATTGTTTTATGAGAAAGATTTTATAAATTTCAACCTAAAGCAGTGCTGCTCGGTCAATGAAATCAAAATGTTTCCTTATAAAGTAAAAATAAAATTACTATTATTATTTTATTTCATTTTTACTTGATAATGTAATTTGTATATTCCTTAAGCCAAGGAGCCAATACATGCCATTCAGGGTCGTCTTCATTACGCCCCCTTTAAAGGTTCAGCATGTACTTGAAGGAAAAACTTGAGGATTCGCCTATTTCTTGCACATGCGCAGATGTCAAAATCTGGCTTAGATTTATTTGACTTCCTTTATTGAAAATCAGATTTTTCCCAATAATACGATGTTCAAATCTTTACTCGTTGCCTACCATGTCATATATACAACAAATAGATACACATGTATAGCCACACAACGCATAAAAAGGAAACAAATAAAAATTAAAGATACATCACCGTGTACATTTTTTATTTGTATGACTATATATTTTTAGGATACAACACGTATTTACATGTGAAAGAATTAATACATTGGTTGTCATTATATCTATATAAAATTGAACAGCTGCATGAACATAAGTACATGTCTCTATATACAATTACATCCAGCTGTACGTACCTATATAAGAGCGAGGATGATGGGATTATATATTGACAGTTACTTTCATAAAAAGCCAGCAGTTTTCCCCTCCTTTATAAAAGCATTTTTTAAAATTTACTTCTGCTCGTATTTGAGTGTAAATCCATAAGAATATATATATATATATATTGTGCATTCTGATTTATTAAAATATGCACGCACAGTTATATGAATGTAAGCAGATATGAGTATATTTTCATACGAGAATATGTGTACTTTTAAGTTCTATATAGATAAGTACACACTCACACTGAGAGATAATATTCTAAACGGATTAGAAGACCTACGAGGTTTTATTATCAGTGGATGCCACCTTAACAACATGCGCTACATAGACAACACTGTTTTGATATAAGATAACTAAAAAGAAGTATTAGGGAAGGTTAGCTGAGGAAATAAAGAAAGAGAAAATGAACTATAAGAAGACTTTATTGTTGCTATCAAAAGAGTGAACCCAAAGGTGCAAGTTACTTATTCAGGGCATAAAAAATCAAGCAGGTGCAGAAGTTTCACTATCTGGTTAATGTAATGTGAGGGAATATATAACTATGAATTCAAAGACATATAGAAATAATGAAAGCTGCCTTTCATAAAATAGTCACGGCATTAAGTAAATGGAAATATCATTAAAAACTAAGAAGACCATTCCGGATTGTTATGCAATATCTCAACTTGTTATTTCAGTAAATGTTGAACACATTCTTCACGGGTAGAGAAAAAGACTTGAAGAAACAGAGCAAGAAATGAGAAGCAAAACGCCACTCATCGGAAACCTATGAGATCGAAACCTGCGATCCCGCAAATTCTCTTCTCGGTCCTATTCTCGTTCTGCTTTATATTAATGATCAGCCTAAGAAAGTATTCAAATCTTTCGGGAATATCTATGGAGAATAAACAACAGTTTATAGGTGCACTTCCCAAAATCGGAATGGCCACAACCTAGCAGACCATCTCTTCCTTGACCCCGAACTGGTGGCGGGAACAACTATCTTGTAAATCTCAATAGGTCCAACACCAAACTAATAATATTCCGCCATCACTGAGCAGACCCTGAACTTTCACCCATCTTGGATGTTCTCTCAAGGAGGGCTCTTGCTTTGAATGCCTGCTGGGACTCAAGCACTTCCCAGACTTAAAGTGGAGTTCTTATATATGATTTAAAGCTAGAAAAATGGCCAGTTCCTTGTACAGCTCCAATAAGTATCTGATTCTCACTGTAATAGTTTATAAGAGCTAGATCAGACCAAAAATGGAGTATCACTGCTATATCAAGGCATCTCACACCTCACCTGCCTTTCTTGATAGTTCAAAAGTCCAGGTTTCAGGGAATATAGAGGATGATCCAGTTACAACTAGGGAGTGCGTATAAGCTTGAAAATCAGTCCATGCGATCAATGCCAGCATTCCCCAAGATTCTCTTCCAGGTTCTATTGTCTTTCTATATGTTACGAGGGAGAATTTTCCCTACAAGTTTGAATTCGGCTGTCGGACAAAAGACATAAAAATATTCCTACATCAAGAGGAGTAGCAGTAGCTGCAGTAGATTTTGCTGAAAACAGTTAGTCACGGTTAAATATTCTCTTCCCTAGGTTATAATCTAC